TGCCGTCTGGATGAAGTTTGTCTCCTGCTCAGGGTGACCTGGCAGGTACTGCACCTCAGAGGCCATGCCTCCATGTCCCAGTGTGGAGAGTGTCAAGCAGGGGCAGAGATGAGTGGACCTGAAAATGTTGTTCCTTCTGCAGTACCATTAGGCACTTCAGTAGCCTCAATTCATGAATACAGATTTGTTCTCTAAACCTCCGGGGAGAAAGACACCTTTCTGGAGTGGAGGTGGGTGAGAAGTGCTTAGGAAAAGAACGCTGAGCTTGCAGTCGTCTCCTGTGTGAACATGGAGAAATGTCGAAAAGGGATCATCAGCGGGAAACGTATCTTGAGCACACAGATGTCATCATTTGCAATTTCACTTGTCAAGTTTCCAGTGGAATTCTGATAGCACGTTTGGCCCTGGGAAGAGGGAGAAAAGACAGCGTTATCTAGAACGGTTTTCCTTTCCTTTGATAAAACATAAGGCAGCCTATGGACCAGTAGGTGGCAAATGAGGACCAAAGGAAGAATGCACTGGGTTAAAAGCACAAGTGTTTGTATCATGTGTGCATGGGGAGAAATGTCTCTCTGACTTTTTGCAGGAAGATTTCCGGACTGACCCGAAAACCTCTCTGAGCACACCTTGCCAACCATCTTCACTCAGGCTGTGAGGAAGAAGGCTTCAAGCATTTAAAATGCATCAAGGATTTGATAGCCTGAGAAAAATCATGAGCAATCAAACCACCCCCTGCCCAAGAAACTCTGGGCTGGCAGGATACGTTTATTTGTTGATTTATTTATACTGCAATCTTTTCTGCCTGTTCTTTGCTTCACTTTGTTTTTTAACTTAGGTCATCTGACATACTCATGAGGAAAGAACAATTCCCCTCTCACCCCAGACGCTCACAGAATAACAGAGCTTGGCATTCACTTCTGAATGTCTTTATGCTTCTTGCTGTCTGGGGTTTCTTTACAATGGCATCCTAAGCTGGCAAAATAATCAAAAACACAGCAAGGAGGGAAGTACAGCAAAAGGAACTGTTATTCCTTTATGCAAAAAACGTGGGTGGCACTAAGTTTCTGGCTCCTGAGCAATCATGGTGAGGTAAAAACATGTGCGAAGGAGTGCCTCAATCAAGTAGATAGTCCCCATGGGATCTTGGGAGGCATTCGTGAAGGGGGGCTCTTAGAAGGATATCTGATTGTTGATCTGTGTTCCCTTAGTGGGGAACTAGCATGCAGACATCCTGCTGTGGGAGTGAGATTAGAGTGCATGAGGGGGCAAAGGGAGTGAGATGTCTCCCGCTGGGGAGGAAGGCGTAAGGAAACAAGGAGTAGGCTGAGAGCAGAGAGAGGGTGGTTGTGCTCAGTGTGGCCTGGCCTCCCTGCAAGCTGTCTCAGCACTGAAGTAGTACTGAATGGGCCATAAAAACTGTGCCTTCTTGTGACCCCAGAAAGGTCTTTACACAGCAAGTGTAAAGTCTACCATATGTGACCTGGGTAGCATGGAGGAAGCCTGGCTCCTGACAAGCACTTTTCATTCTCTGTTTGTCAGAGCTTCGTGCCCTGGCCTCTTTGCATGAGGTAATGGGCCTTGTGCTCCAGTGGGTGTTGCTGACCCATCCCTGCCACTGAGCGGAAAGACTGGCTTAATGATCCCACTCAACATTAATAGAAGACTGTCCCCTTCTTTGTGGTTTTAGTCCGTGAGCAAAGAGCAAGAGAATAAAGGAGTCTATTTATGATCTTCCATTTTCCCCTCCCAGATGGGTAGGGATTCTACCCGTATGAAAAGGAGGGGATATGGTAATTAATTCCCTGGCCTTCAGTATCAAGGATATCCTACTTGGGATTTTGGTGCTACAGGTGGATGTTTGTAGCGAGGGTACGCTCCCATTGCAAGGGACGTGCATATGTGCTTTTAGAGATGATGTCTCTCTGCATCCCTATATAAAAGCAAAATAATTGTTCCTATTTTTCCCCCTGGGGCCCCAGATTGCAGTGATAGGAGCACACTGTCGCTCAGTGCTCTGAGCTGCTCACAAGACCAGCCCTGTCACACCAGTCTCACATCAGCCTGACCGTATGGAGGAGGGATTCTGTGAATCAGGAAATTCCAGCCAGATGCTAAATTGTATAGGACTGAGACCTTGTATGGACTGTGTGGTGCACACAGCTGTTGTTTCAGGCTAACAGACGTTCTGAACACTCCAGCACAAATACTCTTTTTACAAATACCCTGTAGAGCAGACTAAAGACAGCGAGGACTGCTGCCAGGCAGGGTGCAGCAGCAAAGGGGTGGGTGAGGACAGACAGCACAAATTCAGAGGGCTCTTTGCTAGCAGAGCTCAGCAGAAGTTACAAGCTTTGAGGAAAGTGAACAAGGGATACAATAAAGGAGGGATGCTGCACATCAAGCCTGAAATGTTTAAAGAGCAGGCATCCCAGTACCTGTTTTTTTACTAGCTTATTAGTATCTGATATTCATGTTCTCTGACATCCATCCAATTCACCAACCAATAAATATTCCTAACATTTCCTGTTGCAGAAAATACTATTGAAAGAGGAAGGAGAATGTCAAGGAAGTAATTTTTAATGGTTATTTATTTATATTGAATGGTACAAGAGCGTTATTAAATATGATGTGAATATTGCACCATTTTCTGTCTTGCAACATAAGGCCTTGCTTCTTTTCCAGGAAAACACAGTGCACTCTATAATGGAAAATGTGTCTGCTGTAGTTCTTCTCATTCCAACAGTACTCCCTTCAGTCTTCACCTACCCAGGTGCTGCAAGAGAAATTCAAGCAAAACCATTTCATGTCCCTGAGACTGATGTCTGCATTAAGGAGGTGAAGGTGGTCCTGTGCACTGCAGCCTATTGCATCTCCTAGAGATGTGCAGGAGCAACACCAGCAGGGTGAAGAAGGGCACTACAAGGTCTGGACACCTTAACCTGAACTATGTACTTCCTAACTGAAGCACATTGCTTCAGTCCCTTGTGCCAGTCCCTATAGGGTGCAATTCATTGGGAAGAATGTCTTGCAGGCATTATGTGTCAGACCAGTGGGACCAGACAGGGAAACTACTCCAGTCTCCTGGTTTTCCCTTCTCTTCTCTGAAAGGCTGAGAAACAACTGCAGTGGCCAGAGACATCTGAAATGTTCACCCTACCAGAAAAAAAACTGCCACCCCCACAAAAAGAGGAATGGCACTGCTTGTTCAGTGGTGGCTGAAATCCTCTGCAATGTCTTTACTAAATGTAATGCTGCTTTCCTCTTTCCTTTATTAAAAACCATGGGGGTCAGGCAGAGCAGTGGGCAGGACAGACTGACTCTGGCTCTACCTGAGCACCCTGCTTGGTGTCACCCCAACATGCTGTTCTCCCCCTCCTGGGGCCTTACATTTTCAAAGCTAAGCTTGCCAGGCTCTCTGCTGCATTTTCAACAGGGAAGTGATGCAGGTCCCAAGGCATAACGGGCAGAAGGAGGGGAAAGAGCAAAAGAGAATGAATTGTATTAAATGGTGAAGTACTTCTCTGTCTCTCATCACATTTGGGGCTGATTGGAGGTGAAATTACACTTAAAGGGAGGGGAAGCGCCCCTCCCCTGGGACATCCAGAGCCTCCTGCACAAACTTAATTTCAAGCTCTGTTGAAGATGGTATTTGCCTTTTTTTCCCTATGCATTCATTTAATTTCTCGGGTGGACATGTGAAAATGAGAAAGGTAGACCTTTGGCTGTCAAGACAGCCCTGTTCCTGTGCCTTACTGATCCAGTCCAACATTGTTTTCCTCCATCACTGCCCTCAATACATCTGTGCACAGGGGTTGCTAAAATGCCTGCCAACTATCCTCCATGCTTCAGTGAAGACAGTTATTTTTTTCATTTAAGCAACCCAATTCATTTTTAATTCAAATCTCTCCCAGCCTTTCACGTCAGGGGAAAAAATAGGAGTGCAGTGACCTTGAAGAGACTTGGCCTTGCTGGCACCATGAAGTTCTGATCTGCATTCAGCTCTCCTGTACGCCGTTGTTTGCACTTTGTAGACCTGTGGTGGGTTCTGATTCACCAATTTAGGTGGCCATAGGAGAAGGGGAATGAGAGGAATGATAATTCTCACATTTGGTTTTTGAGGTGCCTTGAAAGAGACATTCGTGGAGATTCAGCTCCCCAGCCAGCACAGAATTAAGCTATACATTAGTTTTCCAGTCATGAGAGCATATACATAACATAGGCTGAACTAAAGATTGGGTCAAGCTGTTGTTTTTCCAGCTGACATGCTCATTGCGCCCCAGAAAGGCACAAGATGGCAATTTTTACACCACCTGACTGCCAGTAAAGTTATCAGAGCTGCTGGTGCAGATCTGTTCCAAAATGACCTGCTTCTCTCTGCCTCAGAAATTGATGGAGACAGACAGGCCTTGCCCAAGCTCAAAGAATCATAGAATCGTGAAGGTTAAAAGACCGCTAAGATGATCTAGTCCAACCAGCAATCCCCACCATGCCCACTAAGCCATATCCCTCAGTGCCATATCTACAAGGTTCTTGAACACTTCCAGGCACAGAGACTGCATCACCTCCTTGGGCAGCTGTGCCACTGCCTCAATACCCAACCTGAACCCCCCTTGGTGCAATTTGAGGCCATCCTATTTCATCCTATTGCTGGTACCTGGGAGAAGCGGCCAACCCCCACCTCACCACCACCACCTCCTTTTCTCAGTGTGCTTTCTTTATTTACCATCACGCTAACTTCTCCAATGAATTTTAAGTAATGAAAACAAGTACTACAGCTGCTGCAGCTCCTCACAGGGAGCGGAGGGGCAGCGCTGAGCTCTGCTCTGTGTGACAGCGACAGGGCCCGAGGGAACGGCATGGAGCTGTCAGGGGAGGGCAGCTGGGGGTGAGGGACAGGGGCTGCACCACAGGGCGCTGGGCATGGAACGGGCGGACCAGCACCTGAGGGCGATGACTACAGCTCCCAGCATGCCCGGCGGCAGCCCCGCCCATCCTGCTGTGTTGGGAGCTGTAGTCTCTGCGGAAGGAGCGGGCGGGCCGTGAGGGACGGTTACCTCGGGGTGAGGGTGTCCGCGTTCTAATCTCGAGCTGGGACGGAGTGGGGGAAAGGTCGGGTGTCTACAAGGGCCGGCGTAGGGGAGGCGGGAGAGCCCGGGTCCCCTTGCATGCTGACGGGCGCGCGCGGCGCCGCATCTTCCCGCCCTTTCCTCCTTTCCTCAGGGCGCTCCTTGGGTGGGCAGAGGGAGCGGGGCCGTGCCGCTGCCGGGGCGCCGAGCTGCTCCTCCTTCCCTCGGCGGAATCGGGAAGGGCACATCTGAGATGGCGGAGGGGAGCTCTGCCGCCTCCCGAAGTCGGTGCCGGGAGTGGCAGAGGTGCTCGGCCGCAGCCATGTAGCCCCGAGCTGGCGGCGGCTCGCGGCGGTCACCCGGTGCGAGAGCCATGTCCCTGTCCCGCGTGGAGAACCCCTGCTTCCTGCTGTTCCTTCTCGTCTTCCAAGCCGTGTTCATCCTGATACTGTACCGAGGTGGAGCCTCGAGCGTGTTCCGAGGGTTTTTGGAGTCGCAGCGCGTTTTGGATTACTCCAAAAGCCACGACGTGTATACGAACCTCAGCCTGCTGGTCCCGGTTGGCGGCGGGGCGGCGCTGCCCTACTGCTCGGCGCACTCGCCCATTGCCGGTACGTACCGACCTCTGGCTCGTCCCAACTCCGGCTGTTGCTCTTCTGGGCTCCAACGTTTAAAATGTGCCTTTCTACGGGAATGCATCTCCGCGGCTCGCTGTTCTCGGTGATTGTGTTGGCCTGGTATTGTTATGTTTCTTTAACGATGTTCCCCACGCACTTAGGAGTTAGGTCGCAGGCTGTACCTCATTTACGGCAGGTCACAGCCACTTCTTGGAGCGGCGTTAATTCGGCTCTTGTGCTGCTAAAACGTCTCCTAAGTGAAGTAAATGCCAAGTTAGAACCATACAGCAAGTTTGGCAGCTGTGATGCACAGGTGTTAGTGAATCCCTTCCACTCAGGTAGCCCAGACTGGAAAAGTACTGTAAGTATGCACGTGTAGTTGTTGTGGCTGTTCCACTGCTGAATGTATAGCAGAGTAAATTACTCTGGTCTGTTTTTCAGTTTACAGCACAAGTTTCTGTACGCCTAGTTTTTCACATTAGTAGTCTTGATACACACTCCTTAGTCATGCTGCTCTTCTAGGAAAGTGGTTCTGTGCAAATGGAACATGGAGAGAGCAGCCTGACCTTAACTCACGGGTAGAAGTGTTGTGGAAGACAGTGGCTTTGCTTCCTCATGTGCTGAGCTGCTTGCTTAGCTTACTGAGCTGTGCTGGCAGCCTCCAGCTGTGAGAGCTTTTTGAGGTTGTAATGCAGCTTGTTGTGTGGAGTTTTCTTCCTACCTCTTGCTGAAGTTAAAATGAAATGCAGTATGTGTGGTAATGTTTGGTATAAGCTTCAGCACTTCTCCTGGAAACAGCTTTATTAAGTGTTACTAAAATAGCACAGTTTCTTTGTACAAGTGTCAGTTATAATGGCCTTAGTATAGCCTCTTGTTCATCATTAACCAGAGCCCATTAATTGTTTTGGGAAGCTATGATTCTGTGGCTCAAACTGCCTTGTTTTGCTGGGAAATGCAGTAGAAATTGACTTGTAGCCACTACTGACAAGTATCTGCTGTCCTGAACAAATGAGTAAGCTTTGCTCTTAAATTTTAAAAAGTAGATGTAATTCTTGCAGCTTGCCTGCCAACAATCAGATAAGCAAGAGCAGTGATGATGTACATGGAGGAGACAGATGCAGAGTGAAACTGCATAAAAGTAATGGATGGTGTCAGAGCTAGAAAATCTACATTAAGATCTTTTCTGCTCCCCATTCCTGGCAGCACTAAGAAGAGAGGGGTTGGCCTGCATGTCGTACTCCAGCAATAACATGAAAACTGTGTAGTTAGAGGCAGAAGCAAGCAGTATGGCTGAATAGGTAAAAGAAAAATAGTGAAGCAAAGAGGCTGTGGGAGTTCTGCTGTACTAAAAAGTTAGAATGGAGAATATGAAGCATTGTTGCTGTGAAATGATATTTTAGATCACGGATACAGATTGAGCTTAGGAGTAAAAAGATGTTTTGTTCTAGTTTCTACTCAGTGATGTTTTCTTTTAAATGTAAGAAATAAGATATTCATTCTGGTATTCTTATATGCCAGCCTCTTGAGTGGTTTGGTTTTGGTTTTTTTTGTGGTTTTCTTTTTTGCTGGTAAAGGTGCATGCTGCTCTGCAAGGTGCTTGCCCTTAATTTCTCTATGTCCATCACATATAGAACACGTATAAATACCCTTTTTTTTCCAACCTTAACATCCTATAAAACTATGAAACTTCGTAAATGTCTTGATTGGTTGTTATCATCTCTTATGGAGCCGATCTCTCTTGGAAGCACTACATCAGAAAGAATGATGCCTCTTAATACTAATTTCATAAACCCATTAAATAAGATTTGAAATCAATTCTGTAGACTCCAGTCGCCTGTTCAGAGCTGGTAATAATTCACTGTGTCCGCTCCAAAACACGTAAAAGGAACTGGAAGCATGCCAAGCAGCATAAATGGTTTCTGGATTGGGGCTGTTATGGAGTGCAGTGCTTTCTTCACTTATGTGTACAGTAGATCATTTAACTAATTCTGTGAATGTAGACTCAGATTGAAGCTCCATCTGCCTTTTACTCAACTACCTGAAACCACTTCCAGGGCAGCTGCATAAGAACTAACTGCATAAATCTGCCTGCCTTGGAAGAACTGGGCTTGCGTTTTTAACCCTCAGTGATGTTTGTTGACCCTCTTGTGGCCCCGAACTTGAGAAGCAACGTGTGCAATATGACTGCAGTAATATGCTTTGTGCTGCTGTACTTTTGCTGAGGTATCAATCCATGCTGCTCTTCCTGTTTGTTTAGCTTGTGCGAGTTTCACTTTTTCGTATTGAACTCCGTTATTAGAGCTGTTTATTCTGAACTAAGAAAGTCTTTAGAAGTAATGTAGTTCCTCAAGCTAGAATAGATTTGTTTAAAATAGATCCCTTGATATTTGGATGTTGACTAGAACATGTCACAGGCAGGGAGTGCGCTGTCACAGGCAGCTGCTAGCAATATGGACAGGGAATTGTGGGGTTTAATTCTGTGCGCTGAAGTTTCCTATTAATTAAACGCTCTTCAGGGATAGAAGGAGCTCAGGAGCCAGACTGTGGAGGGAACTAATTGGTCATGTCAAGGTGTTGATTATCATAGAACTGTCATGGAATCGCCAAGGTTGGAAAAGACCTCCAAGATCATCTAGTCTGACGACCATTGCCCCGTGAACCCACATCCCTCAGTACAACATCCAAACATTTCTTGAACACGTCCAGGGTTGCTGTCTCCTCCACCTCTCTGGGCAGCCTGTGCCAGCACCTTACCACTCTTTAGAAATTTTCCCTAATATCCAACCAGAAACTCACCTGGTACAACTTGAGGTCATTCCCACTCATCCTGTTGCTGGTTATGCTAAGAGGCCAGCCCCTACTTCACCATAACCTCCTCTTAGGGAGTTTTAGAGTGCAATGAGGTCTCCCCTGAACTTCCTCTTCTCCAGACTAAACAATCCCAGCTCCCTCAGCTGCTGCATGTAAGACTTGTGCTGCAGACCCCTCACAGCTTCATTGCCATTTTCTGGACACGCTCCAGGGCCTCAATGTTCAGATCCCTCTGTAGGGCTTTCCCATCTCCATACAGATCAACACTTTCTCCCAACTTGGTGTTATCTGCAAACTTACTGAGGGTTTGATACCATCTGCTGATACTGCTTCAAGAAAACACAACTTCTGATGGAGTAGAAGTTCTCTATCTGACCCTCTCATTATCAGATCCCTAAGTTATTTGACGTTAAACTCCCAGGATATATTTCAGATCTCTCAAGAAGCACAATTTTCATTTTAAATTATGCTTTTCTAGGAGAAAAAAGGGAAAAAAGAGCATAGTCATTGTTAATTCTCTTTCTCTCTGAACTACTGCCCATTTGAAAGGCAGTGAAATAGCAGGAAAGTGTTTAAAAGAAATTGGAGTTAAAAGACTCTTTAATACACGTAATGTATCAGGCTTAGAGCTTTCCCTGAAGGGGACAGCCCCTCTTTCTTATTCCTGGATGCAGACAACCACGCAGCCCCCATTCCTGGGCCATATGTTGGTAGCTGCATAGCTCCACAGGAGGCCTCCCGGCTGATGCTTTGGAAGATCAACCTCTTGTCTTGCACAGATTTTCCACTGTGTCACACAGTTGAACTGTCTTCTCAATCCACCTAACTGTGGCTGCACAGCATTTTGTACCTTGTCTGAATGGGGATCCTGTGCTTTCTAACGTGGCCGAGATGGTTGAGCTTTTTTTTTTTTTCTTCCTTCCCTTTTTCTCTTTGTTCTGTCCTCTCCCAAAGACCTTTTGTTTTTCCCCGTCTGGGCCAGCTTGCAGCTTCTCTGCCCACATCTGGGATTTAATCAGATTACAGTGCATTAGCTGTTTGTTAGCTGGATGGGAAGGAGAGCGGAGAGCTGGAACTGAGTTTATAGCCAAGGGGTGTAGGGCAGACAGAGGTCTGGGGATGCATCACAGGCTTTAACGACTCTTTTCTGCGCTTCCTTAGCGCCTAAGAATGAGTTTCAGAGCCGAATTGTTTGAGGTGAGGAGCCAGGCAGCTCAGGAGGATTTGGTGTCTTGAAAAGCCTCAGTGCTGTCGGTATTACCCTCATGTATCAGATGTCTGGGTATGGAAGGAGAGAACACAAGCCCGTGTTATTTCTGTCCCTTATGTCCAAATTCAGATCTGATTTTTGGAATTTAAGGATTACCGCTGTGGAACCTTAACTCCAATAGAAAGAGCTGGCATTGTATTAGGGAAAACAAAAATGCCTTTGTGAGAGAACAGAAAAGAATTAATTAATTCCATTTCTTACGTCATCTTGGGAGCTGTGATCTGTACATGAAATCCATTCTGCAGATAGTGTTTCTTCAGCAAGCTCCAGATGTCATCACATTGGTGGTTAATGATGCTGTAGTTAGAGGACCTTAAAAGAACTGTTAATCAGGAGAGTTCATAAATCTGAACAGCAGTGTAAAATACAAGCTTAAAAAAAATGTTGGCCTGCTGCTCTTAAAGATGGAGCAGGAAACAGTCTGCATAAAAGTAGGTAATAACATCCTAAAATCCTTACAGTGGATTTGTGGGCCTGCTGCACAGTTCTCTGCAGATCTTCTCTTCTGTTTCAGATATGCAACTACAACAGCAGTGTACTCCAGTTTCCAATCTAATGTACTTAGGGTGACATCATTAAAATCAAATCTCTCCTGTGTTTTAGGTACCGAAGGAAGGATTTATAAGTGATGCTTCAGAGTCAGCAATCACAAAATCTTGTTGGCAAAATTGTCTTGGTTTTTGTTTGTTTGTTTGTTTTTAAGCCAGACTACGAAGTGGGATTCACTGGGGCTGGTCTTCTAGTTCTTTTTTAGTTGTGCAGGGGATGGGGTCAGTGGCTGTTTTGACAGACCTTGGAGGAATGCTGTTGTTTACGTTCCTAGAAGAAGAAGCTGTTACGGCCTTTACGGTTGCCCCTGAAAATGAGATGCATACAGTTTCTGTGTGCTAGCCAAGTGTTTCCCAGCATGGACAGCTTGAATCTTACTCCAAAGCTAATCCTTGAACCTTCCTCATGCTCTTCTGAAACAAGCAAGGAGGGATGTCACTTCCTTTGTGTCAGTTAAACAGGATGTGGGTGAACACAGACCCTATTTATTTATGTGCTTTGTTAAGTTTGTACCAGAGATTTTGAATGTGAGATAGGCTGGAAGAAGTACCTTCTGGACTCACCTCCTTTAATATGTATTAGACCTGGGGCAAACCAAGCCTAAATACTTATTCTCTTTCTCCTAGGCTTCGTTATCAGAAATTTAATGAGAGGATAATTTATTTCAGTGCTTTACAGGGAGTGTGACTTAGAAGATACTGAAAGCTCACTTCAAAACAGCCACAGGATTAGCTATGAGCTTGGAAGAGGAAAAAAAAAATCCCATTTATGACAGCAAAAATAAATAAAGTAGCTCCCAGGCTTCTGGTACAAAAATATTTTGTCCTTGGGTAATGTGACCTGCAGATAATTGGACCTTCTTAAAACCATAATGTGAGGTGATCACATTGTTGGATTTTAATTGTAGTTTAGGTGAAGGTTTCTTCCTAGCTTGTGTGAAGAACATATTTTAATATATTTTTATAAAAATTATTGTATTTTATTGTTCTGTATTTGTGCTTTATTTTCTTAGAGAAAAGTAACTGGAAAGCCACTATGATACACTGATAAGTGTGCAAATGTCACTCTTTTGCTAGTTCTGGTCCTCCTTTCACAATCCACAAACTCACACACAGGAGGGGTATCAACTCTTTAAAAGGGTAGATGATGGCAGCATGAGGGGAAATGGTTTTAAGTTGAAGGAGGGGAGATTTAGGTTGGATGTCAGGGGGAAGTTCTTTACAGAGAGAGTGGTGAGGTGCTGGAACAGGCTGCCCAGAGAGGTTGTGGATGCCCCGTCCTTGGAGGTGTTCAAGGCCAGGTTGGATGGGGCCCTGGGCAGCCTGGTCTGGTATTAAATGGGGAGGTTGGTGGCCCTGCCTGTGGCAGGGGGTTGGAAACTTGTGATCCTTGAGGTCCCTTCCAACCCTGGCCATTCTGTGATTCTGTGAACCCAGAAGAGATAGTAAAATAATCAGTCTTTGCACTTTCAGATTGTCACAATGCAGGACTGGTGTTAAAATCATGATTGATACTTTGCACTGCTTTTTTTCTTTTCAAGATTTTCCCATCTGAAGAAGATGGCTTTATTTTAATTAGGTAAAAACTGCTGTACCCACTGGGTATGTTTTGTGTTTAAAATTGATCTACTTAGTAGAGCTGCTGTCATTTGTAGTTGCTTTTGCTGCCCCATGCCTATTCTTGCAAATACAAAATACTGAGCTTCTTCCTCAGCTCTGCTATCTGTTGCTCCTAGAACTTTGATAGCAAAATGCTACCTGCCTAGCACTGTGTATAGAATTAAATGGTACAGCAAATACAGCCCTGGTGGCACGTGATTAAACTTTGAACTTCTTTTCGGATAAAGTTAACACTTTCTAAAGCATTTATATTTCCCAAATCATTTGTGTTCATCTGGGCTTTAATCTGTTTCCCCCCAACCTGCTGAGTGTTCTTATGGACATCTTTGTCCTTGAATCCAATCTGAAAGAGCCTTACAGACATTTTCCATGTGGGTAGCCAAAAAAAAAAAAAAAGTGTCACCTAGATTTGTTTTCCTCTGTACTTCCACAGTGGATGCACTTATTGAAGGATGCACAGAAGACAGGTTTGTGTGCTGTGGAGCCAGTACCAAGAAAAAGGAAAGTACACAGGCCTGTAGTGCATGGTTGGCTGTAATGTTTCTATGATGCCTCTCTGGCAAGTGCCTGCTGGCCTGGTGCTGGGCCTGGCAGCGCTGTACAGAGCTGTGATGGGGTGACTGGCAGGTAGCAGTGGAATTTGTCACAAGGGCACATCTGTGTGGTGTTATTACCTGTGCTGGGTTAGGGGAGATCTGGTGTCTCCTGTAGTAACTGTGTGGAGCTGCTCTAGTGTTCTTAAATGCAAGTTGAGAAACACTCCTAATGTTGCTTATCTGTTTTTTTTTCTCTGCCTCTCCTTACAGTTGGTCTGTTAACCATCGCTTTTGACGTGCTCCCCAGTGAAAGAATGATCATCCAAAAAAATCCTTTTGTTCAGTCTGGAGGCCAGTACAGACCACCTCACTGCTTGGCCCGCTACAAGTCAGCCATCCTTGTAGCATACAGTAACCAGGAGAAATACCTTCACCATCTTCTCTACTACATTCATCCCTTCTTGCAGCGCCAGCAGCTCAGCTATAGGATCTACTTGATTCAGCAGGTAAATCTGAATTGAATATACCTGGTGGAGTTTGCCACGTGAAGGTTAGGTTCTGAACAAGATATGTGGATCTTCTAATGGAAGTACATTTTGATGCCTGGGTCGAGCTGTGAAGTTACATGCCATCATACTTCCATGGCTGCCACTGATTGAAATATCTTACCACTTGTCAAGATCACTGTCCTGCTATTGATTTATTGTGTTGGGCTGGGTTTTTGTTTCCTCCCAAGAGGGATAAAGCTGTCATTAAGTGGTAACTTGTATTTTCAGCTCTTCAGGAGTTGAATGTGAGTTGTCTGTCAGTGGCTTGTCAGTACAGCTGCTGACTAAAACTGTTGAGACTAAATGTTAAGATGAAGTTGGATATTTTTAGACTATATCAAGTGAAAACATCTGCCTTGGCCTTGCTGTTTGCCACAGGCCATGCAGGTTAAACAGCCATTAGTAACTGATGATGGAGTGATGTTGCAAAAGATAATGGAGACAGGGAAAGTGTGGTGTTCATTGATTAAATAGCTGATTGAGAGGGAGGAAGCTTCTTGTTTGTGACAGATCTTTTTTTCTCCTTTCTAAGCTTTAGTAAGCAATAATCAGAACAGAAGTGTTGATGTGCTTATATATGTCAACCTGAAGGCTTAATGTTCTGGTGTCTTAAAAGTCTGCCTTCTTCATATGCCAGCAATAAACAGCACCTGATATATCACTGATTAAAGTTGCAAACAATATTTTGAAGAGAGCAGATAATCTAGGGGATGAAATTCACAGGCAGTAGTAATTCACTCCAGTGTCATTCACCTATGTAAGCTTTTTGCTCTACCATCTGTTGTAATTGAGTTCTCCTGTTTGTTTTTTTTTTGATGGGGAAACGTAAATCTTATTTTCCAGGTGGGGAATGGCACCTTTAACCGAGCAAAGTTACTTAATGTTGGTGTCCGGGAAGCCTTGAAGGATGAAGACTGGGACTGCCTCCTTCTGCATGATGTGGACCTGGTACCTGAGAATGATTATAATCTCTATGTCTGTGATGAATACTATCCCAAACATATGGCTAGTGCCATGGATAAATTTCAGTACAAGTAAGTGCTTCCATGTGCTTTGGGACTTATGTATCCTACTCTTTTCTTTCTAGATGGATAGCATGAATGTGGATAGGGAAAGATCCAACCTTCAAGAAGTGGGAATATTCATTTTTTTTTGTTCTAGCACTAGAGGCTTCTCCAGTAAGAGGAGTTGCTGACCTAGACATGCAATCTCAAACGATTCCATGCACGTGTTTCCCTGCTCCATTATTAGCTCAGCTTGGAAATAACAGGCAGATTTGTTTTTGTGTCCACAATAAGGAGTATGGGATGGCAGACACTGTATGTGGAAGATTGTGGGAGGTGGTTGAGTCACCATCCATGGACGTGTTTGAAAATCGTTTGGACGTGGTGCTCAGGAACATGATTTAGCAGAGGGTTGTTAGAGTTAGGGTAGTAGGTTAGGCTGTGGTTGGACTTGGTGGTCTTGAAGCTTTTGCCAACCTGAGCAATTCTATGATTCTATACACAGTACAATGTTGGTGTTTGGATCTAATTGGAGATGTTAATTTTCAAGCAACCTTCACTTAGACTTTCTGAGATGGGACACAGAATTGCATGATTTTGCTGTTTTGGGTTTCGGTAAATAATATCTCCTGATTCTGGGCTTAAAACTTTCTTTGGGAGTACATCTAAACTTACCACTTAGCATCCATCTGCCTCTGCAGAAAAACTGTAAGGAATGAGATTAACATCTGTGACCTGGCTGCCCTTGCTTGTTTCTGAAGGACTGTTATTAGCCCTCACAATGATGTTTTTTGTTTTTTGTTTTTCCTCCCCTGCTATTTTAGCCTTCCATATAAGTCCTTTTTTGGAGGTGTATCTGCTTTGACTCCAGAGCACTACATGAAGATGAATGGGTTTCCAAACACTTACTGGGGTGATGGTGGTGAAACCGATGACATCGCTGCAAGGTACTGATTCACAGCTTCCTAGTGAAGCACACAGCATTACTGCAAGAGAGGAGCTAAGAGACTCCGTTTCTTAATGTGCTTGCAGTAGCACTGTAATCCAGATGCTGCTGGCAGTGGGCATGATTGCTGTCAGAAAATGCTCAGAATCTATGACTAATCATTGTGTGCTGGGAGAACAAAGCTTTCTTCAGATACTGGGGGACAATGTGGTACTTTGCATCCTTGTGCCTGCACTTGCACTGGAGCGCTTCCAAGGGGTTATAACCAGCAGTAGTTGACATGCTGTGGCTCCACTGACATTAATAGTCCCAAGGAAGTGAATCTGTAAACTTGATAAACAAGAAAATCAAGAAGTATTTATTAATTCCCAAACAGTTCTGAGTTTATGTTAGGCACATGGGTTGCTCCAAATGCTACCTGGTCACTAATACTCAGAATTCAGTTACTAATGGCTGTTTAACCTGCATGGTCTGTTCCTTCGTTCCAACTTCTGCCCTCCGTGATGGAGAAGTCTGTGAACTATTGTGAGTGACAGCACAAGCTAACTGAATATTTTTTTTTCTTGTATGTTGGTTGCTATGGCAGCAGCATGCTATAGAAGTGAACAAAATGTGTTGTTTGAGGTATTTAGCCTAATGCAGATTCTTCAAGTACAAAATCACAGCTGTGTCTTTATTCACCTTTGCAGTTGCACTGTGTACCATCCTGCACTGAGCCAAGCTAATAGGGTAGTTAAAAAAGCTAAACTGACAATAAAGACCTTATGCTCTTTTGGTCTTGCACAGCATTACAGTTATGGTGAAATGTTCTGGTTTAAAAGCTGCTAGAGTTCTCAACAGCAGCATTCTTCTGGGAATTGAAATCAGGTTAACATAAAAATCCTTCTCTGCCTTTCAGAGCAAGCTAGCTAAAATAGTACATAGCTTGAAAGTAATGCCTCCTATTTATTTCCCTGGAAACTACAACAGTTATAAAGAGCACAGTAATGCTATTTGATAGGGCAAATTCTCAGCTACAAAACACTGTTTTTCAACATAGTCACCACAACGAGGTATGCATTTTTTGTTGGTTTTTTTTTTTTTTTTGCCAGTGAAGAACAAGAGCCTGTGTGCTGCACATTGGAGGTGATGCACTGTTTCATGTTTGTTGTGATAGTGCTGTTAGTAGGAAAATGTTGCCCAGGTAGTCCATTTTTCATTGTCCAAAACAGGGAAGTCAAAAGTTGCTAAATCTGGACTGTGTGGTGGGTGTGATAGGACAGTCCAGGCAAGACTGGCAGTGTCCACAATGGTCTTTGAATGGTATGGAGCCTGGCATTATTGTGTTGCAAGAAAAAATGGTATTCTTCTCTGGATGCTCAAGCCTTCAGCTTAGTCAGTATTCTGATGTAGTGGTCAGAGCTGATGGTTTCTCTGAGTTCCAGGAAATCTGTGAAGATCACCCCTTTCCTATCCCAAAAGTGCCTTTGCCTGCTGAGGACTGTGTCTTACATTTCTTTGATAGCAAATTCACCCGTCACCACACTGGGTTGGTGTTTTGACTCTGGCATGTAGTGGTGACACCACATCGTGTCACTGGTAATGATGTGATGACAGGAAACTGTCACCTTCAGCCTTGGATTGGTTCAGCAGGTCCTGTCAAGCTTGTGTATGGTGTTCTTTCTGTTCCTCTGTAAGTAAGACCCACCTGGTGCAAATCTTGTAAAATTCCAATGCAACAAGGTGCCTTGTGTAAAACTGAAATATGTATTAGTATGTCATTACTGTCACTGAAACGTTGAAATCATTTTCTAGATAAATATTTTCAGTTCTGTAGCTTCTTCCAGCTTTAGAGCATTCCCACTTCAGTGCAGCTTGCTGTTGCACCAGGTCGCAACAGAAGGCAATTAAATGCTGCAGACATGCCAGTTAGATAACCTAAATTCAGCACAATTTCATTCTTCTGCAAAGAAAATTCCTGTGAATATGAAGGGTCCTGTGTGATAAACAAAGACTTGCTGGGTCTAACAGTATTACTGTCAAGTTCTGTTGGTAAGCTAACATAGATGCCATCATTCAGTAATTAATTTCTTAAGGTAAATTATACAAAGTCCAATTGTTAGCTGGCAATGACATCTTTATACCTAAGTACACATTTTGCTCTTCATTTTAAAGGGTCCAGTTAGCAGGCATGAGAATTGTGCGGAACCCACCGCACCTTGGACGCTACAAAGTGATGGATTACAACAGAGAGACAGAAGAGCCTTGGAGAAGGTAATTGTACCAGAGAGAGCAGCTCAGAGACTGCTCCTTGTGGCAGGCTGTTACGTAGTCATCCTTAAGAAAGGTGGGAAGTAAACCTCATGCCACTGCTTATTTTTCTGTTTCAATGCTGCTATTTAAAGAAAGCTCCCAGTTAGCTTCACTTGAGCAGTGCTGCTCTTACCTCTGCGTTGGAAGGGTAGGTGCACTTCTAGTTTCCTACTTCTTACCTAGTGTGAAGTTAAGAATATTTGCTAGCCAGGCAGCTTGCAAGTATCAAACTTCAGCATCAAATTATTCAGGGAAAATGCCATCTCAGTCTGTCTTGTAAACCAGGAGGTTTCTCTTTGAAGAGGCTCTTTGTGCAGATTTACAATGTGACATTAAAACAGTGGAAAGCAGTATTGTAGCTAGAGGAGGTGACTAAGGTGCAGAACAGACCTTAGTGAAGACCACTTCTGTATAAAAGCAATGGAAGAGATTGTTGGGGCAAGTGTGAGGGCTTCTCATAGTGACAGCACAGATTTCCCTCCCTCCTCTTAACTTGAGGTTTCCATAACAACTCTGTCTTAAACCTTCTTATTGCTGTCTGTGTTCAGTGCTCTTGCAAGCCTCTCTGTTGTGCTCCCAAGTCTCTTTGCTTGCTACCAGGTTCTTTTTTTTTTCTTTTTTTCTTTTTTTTTCAGAATCCAATCACCCTTTCTGATCAGGATCCAGACCATGCTGTCCTCCTTGTTTGTAATACTCTGCACAAAGTTCAACCCAACCCTGTTAAGCATTCTCTCCTTCTCATTTGTAATTAGAGGGAGAGGATTTTCTTGGGGCTTTGCTGACGGCTTTCACATGCTAAGCCTTTGCCCTCCAGAATACCTTTTCTTCTGTTACCTCTATTCAAAGCATCAGTTGTTATCATCACTTTTGTTCTTTTCTCTAATGGCAACTGTTCTCCTTTCTTCAGGCCTGCTTCCCACCACAACACTGGAAAAACTTGGAAGGATGATGGGATGAACTCTTTAGAGTTCAAGCTCCTTTCCAGAACAAAGCATCCTCTTTATACCAACATTACTGTGGACATTGGATATGTTCCTCCCTTTTCTTAAGATAATGAAAACTAAAGTGGAGTTTGGATTCACTGTGACAGCACAGTTATGGGTATTCAGCCTGTACCTCTGGCTGTGGTGCAGAGTCTGCAGCACCTGAGACTAATCCTGTTGCCTTTCACGCATTGAACTTTTCTTCGGATTATGGGAGACTTTGAAGAAAAGGCTTCAGGAATGAGGCATCATAGCTACAAACAGGATCTGGCTTATTACAAAAGTCCTTTAAAAGCACTGTAAAACTACTGAACCAAATCTACCTGTCATCCTCAGGCTGGAGAGAGGCTGTCTCCTTGACAGTAAGTTGACCCAAGTTTTCTGGAAACTTTGTTACATAATGGGAGGGCTCTGTTCTGCTGCTTACTGAAGTGGTAAGTGGGATTCAGGCCATTCTGTCAGTCCTCTGAAATGCTGTATTTTGAGAGAGAACTTGCTTGGTGTTGAAACTCATTACAGTTCTGTGACTATTCTTTGTGAATTTGTGTCAAGAAAGTTGAGATGTTTGTTTGGATTAAGATTTTTCTAGAGTATTTAATAAGATTTTTAATAAAGGAGAAAGTTGCCCTGAAGTTAGATGAAACTATAGCTTAAATTCCTGCTTGTCTGGCCAGATTATGAGTTCTTACTGTAGCCGTAAGTAATTCACATCTAAGGAGGCCTCAGACTGTCAGCTATGCTCAGCAGATGGAAATTAATCTACCATTTCAGCCATTGCTCAAATGTTAATTATCTCTCAAGGTTGATCTGCATTCCATTAAAACACTTTTGAGAAATGAAATACTAGAGGAAAAAAAAATAAGTCAAATATGTCAACAGTAGAGCTGTGACCCTGGCAAGAGTGCATTTGTCCTTACCTGACAGTGAGGCTGATCGTCTGCTCTACATCTTGCCCTTTTTGTCATCTCTCTCTATGGCAGTCAATCAGTAGCACTGCCTACAAACCCCAACTATTTTGCAAGTGTAAGATAGGATTTTTTACCTTGCATAAACTAGAGTCAAATTCCTGTTCTCTGTTCACTGAAAAGCTGCATCTCTCACTCTAATACCCAAGAATCTATTAAAGGCTTCATTTTTCTCAACAGTTAAAGTGGTACATGTCAACCAGAGACAGAGAAATTCCATAATATAGGTTGGTTTTTTTTTGTTGTTGTGTAATTCTTAATACAGTTTCCTAAAAGAAAATCCCCCAGCTTTGCAGCTGCCTGCAAGGGCTGTTTATCCAGCAGGCATGGATAAAGGACAGATCAGGTGCAATAAGGAATTTTTCTGATCAGAGTTTTAGCAGAAATCCCTGAGCATACTGGAACAGCTATCCATACCACTCCTATAAAAACAAGAATCAGAAACAGCAATAGCTTTGTTGGGTACACAGATACGCATGCTGCTAACAGTATGGCCTAAGCCATGAAAGAACAAAGAGGGGCTGAAGTTTTTCTCCATCTCACAGAGCCTGTGCACTTCCTTCTAGCTCTCTCCTGAATAATGTCTAACCTGCAGGCTAATGCAGAATTGAGACTTCCATTTTGCTGTGTGACACTTAAGTACTCCCACTACATGGTGAGCTGAGCATATGAAAGACAGATGCCTTTTGAATTAAGCAGATTATATTTTATTGAGAGATCTTTAACATTTCTCCCCTATTTTCATCATTGCTGTTTCCACCCCTAAAGCAGTTTTTCTTCAGGCTGGAATAAATGAGCTTTTCTCAACGAGTTTATAGATGGTAGAAAACTGTTGTGCTTTTAAGGGAAAAAGACTGGCCTCCTCCTTTTAAAGTCTTGGTAGTGTCACCTTCCTACTTCAAACTGGAAGTTTAGGAATAGCTTTAAGAAATATTTTTTTCAGGAGACCTAATACCTTCTACTGGACCAGCCCAAACACAGAAGCTTACAAACATCTCAGCAGAAAGTGCATAGAAGAACACCAGGACCTGCCTGTGGGTCAGTTCCACCTCTCCAGTCCTCAGAAAATGAGCTTGTCTGCTAATCAATTAGATGCCATGCAGAAAAACATTCTTCTGTGCTGCTGAGGTGCTCCTTTGAGGAGAGTGCTGCAAGTCATCTGCTGCACCACCAACCACAAACAGTATCCGTTGCCATTTCCTAAAACCTGTGTGGTGCTCACCCCTTTGAGGTCTTTGTCTGCACGCTGAAATCTACCGTGATGTTGATGTATAAAGGGTTATGTTCCACTGACAGCAGTCTATAGGAACAGGAATTCAACCCATCTGTTTTCCACGTTTTAGATACCTGGTGCAGAAGCTTCATCCTGAGGACAGAGTAGAGGAGAAAATTGTTACAGCAGCACAAAACCAAACTCCGTAAGAGAGGAGTTCTAAGCTCTCTCCCATGTCCAATAATCTTAGAGATAGAGCTATAGCCATTTTGCATCTTCTGGGAATATAAATTCATGCTTTTCTTATCCTCAGCATGGACAGAGGGAAACAGTCTTTCAGTACAGCATAGGGAAGAGGGGTTTAAGCCAATTAATCTCTGAAATGGTATTCTAAAAATCATAGGGCCACCTGCTGCCTGGCTCCTACAACAACAGTGTAAGATGGAACACTGCTCTTACCTCTGTCTGTTCTCCTCATTGCCAAGGTCACGGTTGTGGGAGATCATAGTGTACCTGGCTACAGCAGCAGCTGGCCTCATCACTCGCATCTTCTGCATCTCAACCCTGCAAGAAACAGTTGTGCCATATGCAAGATACCACCTATAAGCCAGCTCTTAAGAAACAACGTTCTGAGACTTCAACTCTGTTAGGTGCCATGGAAGCGAGTTTATAGAACTGTAGGCAACTCATCATCATCATCTTCCACACTCTATTTTGCTGCAGAAAGAGAGCTCACAGAGTTGGGTTTTTGTACAGCAGGTCCAGGAGGGTGACAGATATCCTTGTCTTTTGAAGAGAAACATGTAGAGTTTGCTTTAAATACATTTTACAACAGAGTCCATTTAAATTAGACCAGACAATACTAGTTTTACTTCCATACGTTAACCTAGGAAGTCTGTACAAACACTGCATGTTTTGCAACAAGTTTCTTTCAACTAATGTAATGAAGCCCCTACCCTAGTTCTCCACTAAGAGGAGGAAATGAGCTTGTTTTCCTGTGGTCTGCAGGCAGCTCTGCAATTTTGAACTTTTTTTTTTCTTCACGTAAATAACCTCTTTATGGAAAAAAGGGCCAGAAATGTTAACCTGCATGCATGGATTTTAGTGTCTAGCATCAGGCACTTGATTGGAACTTTTGGCCTTAAACATCATCTGTGGAGCCCAACAATTTTGCTCTGTTAGCAGCAGAAAGGGAATTAAGGAATAGCCCAGGTCTTTGCCAGTCGTACCAGCAGCTGAGAGAGCAGCAGCAGGAAACCAAGACTGAAGAAGCAGGCCCTATAGCTTTCCAATAACTGTAGCAGTAAATTATCAAAAACAGATGATATGAAAATCTTTCTAATGCTCACTGTAGGGAGGAGCTAGGAAGAAAGCACGGCATTTAGCACAAAAACTAATCAGTGGAAAGTAGCAGCACTGCAGCCCTCAGTTCTTGAAAATACTGCAGGGGCTGCTGCCATCTGCTGCTTTTGCAGAGGTAGGCTGCAGTGATCTCTGTATTACGAGACCTGCTGAGAAAGGAAGCTTCCTATTCAGTACCACTACAAATACTGCAACTACCACAGTCCAAGATCTACTCAGGAAGAAAGACATGAGCTAAGGCCAACTGCACACTGTGTCATAGAATTTGGTTTCCATACCAAAGACCACAACATCCAGGAAGCTGTCAGGTGCCAGCACAAGAGAACATCACTTTTGATTACAAGCACTTGCAAACACCTCCAAGTTCCACCCATCTACTGCACAGCTTGTTCTGTAATGTGCACGCAAACATTTGAAAGAATACCAGTAGCATGTTTGTTTGCTCATTAACTCAAGAAGCTGGGGAGTAAGATGGTTACTAACCATCCCCTGCCACTAAAAAAGCCAGCCTCTGAGTTGTCACAGAGAAGTAGGTGTCTCTAGATAAGAGACTTGGGGGGGGAAGGGAGTAGTTACAGAGACAGGACAGAAACCCACATCACCAAGTAAAGCTCTTAGATTTCTTGAGACACAGCTGACTGTTCTGCTTAAGTAACAAAAACTTTCACTGGAAGTTCCTAACTTTAACACACTTGATTTAATCAGTATAATTATTTAACATCACCAGGAGCATGACTTGTACACCTCCAAAATGTTTTGCATATTTAAACAATTGAAAAGGGTAAACATGTAAGGATGAGAGAGTATATCCAAGTTACAAACTGACAGTTTGTAAGAGCAAAAGGTACGTGGATATATGCACAGTCTTCCTAAAATGCAAACTGTCTCAACTACAGCCAATACCACCCACAAACTAAGCTCTGCTCAGATAAAGTTAGGGTAGTCAATGAGTGAATTTAAAAAACAAAAAAGCCAAAACCCAAGAACTCCCACACTCTTGCAAAAGGAGTAGATCTTGGTACGTTTTTATCTCAAGCAAACACTATTCCAGACTTTGAATCTTATTTTGGTTACAGCCAATTTCCAAAGTGGAATAGAAATGCTCTGGAGCTGAAACAAAAATCAATGAACAAAAACCTACCAGCAATTCTCTCAGGTTGTGGATTTGCCTAATCTTTTTGAAGAGGAAGACATATACAGAACTACTCCAAATCTCCATACAGCAATACTGTTTCAGAGTTCAAGAATTCTGTAGCATTTCACCTTTGAAGGCTAGGTTGAAGTCTCTCAGCTTTTATTTATTTTTTTAACCCAGCTCCTCCCTTCTCACACCCATTTCCATGTAGCCTTCTTTTTACCTGATTCGAAGGTCGTCATCTTCTCCACCCCAACCCCAATAGTTGTTAGAGAATCCATTCACCTTGGAAAACTGGTCTCTTGTTAGAGCTGTTACACCTCCAAAATATCCCTGGTAACGTAACCTAGAAGTACACAGGAAGAGAAAATGAAGAATTTAAAGGTTGAGTTACACCAACAATGAAAATACCACATAAAAACTCTTGATCTAGACCTGTCTTTTGCAGAGTTCACGATGCACAAGTCTATGATGTAGCTCCTGTTTTCTTACACTTCTCACAAAAAGATAATGATTTGCTTTAGGCCAGAAGAGCTCTCCAGCTGAAAGAATGAAGCTTTCCTAATTAAATAGCTTCCTTATACACCTCCCCTTGCTAATCAAAAAGGCTCTGCTCCTCAAGGACCCCGATATGTAGGAAAGGAACAAAGCAGAGCACTGTAGCAGATGCAACAAGAGCTGCTCCTTCGAGGTAACGACAGCAAGCCACTGACTACCTTACAGCTGAATCTCACAACCTTTAAATGAAAACAGAGCACATGCTATGAGAATTCAGCTCAAGGCAAGAGCAGTTCCAAGGTGAGGTACAGTACAAGTTGCTTTACAACCTAAATGTCACAGAGCTCAACTGTCCTTGTCCAGGAAACTGTATCTACTTTAAAAAGGTAATTACATACCATGTTTATCTTACACCATTTTAATAATTACTTTTTTATGACACCCTCCACTTTCTTGGCCCTAAAGAAAAG